CCAGAACCTCATTGTTGCGTGCATATCCGTTTTTCACATCTGACTAATTTAGGTGCAGACGTTTGGTTTGCTTAACTCCCAGGCCGATGTGCTCCGACTTTGAAGGAAGCTCCCAATTAGTCGACTCTTACGACATTATTTTGGGTAGGCAGTGGGTCTGTTCTTGTTTTCCCTACAGTGAGGCCCCGGAACACACACGCACGAACGCGCGCGCGCATACACGGAGGGGTTCTCTTGTGTTCCAAAGGTCTCTTCAAGACATTAAGTGTATCTTATGTATTATTTATGCTGTGGCCATCTGCCAGTCTAGTCAGTATGAACAGGGTTACAGTTACTGCCTTTACGCAAGAGGCTAAGCCTTGTTAAAGTGAATAATAATAATGTGCTTAGTAATAATGTGTCGAACGGCAAACAGATAATAAAAGATTGAGAGGAGGGGTGGGTATTATATATAAACTTACCTGAAAAGATATGGCCAACTACTGGACGTAAACTTGCCTAGAAAAACCACAACAGCCAAAAAATGCTAGGGTTGGTTCTGCAACGTTCTGTAAAGGATACGCAACTAACTTTAACCTGAAAAGATAACATGGCCACTTTGTCTGACTATCATCTTTGTAGGGGAAGGGTTGATAACATTTCTCCTGGTCCATGGAACCCTGAATGTGTATAATAAGTAACAAATCGAGAGCATGAATGGCAGATACTCTCTCTCTCACACACACACACACACACACACACACACACATATATATATATATGAGAGAGAGAGAGAGAGAGAGAGAGAGAGAGACTCCCACACAAGCATTTTTTCCAAACGGGATATGAATTATATACGTATAGTAGATTGACTGGGAAAATGTTGACCCCGAATGAAATTTGGCGCGCAGACGATAAGTGCGGCTGTGGGACCCGGTGAATGACAGTGCGACGACAGCAGAAGTGAAATATGCAGGCCTCCGCGGGTGATTTTCTGACAGATTTTCTCACAGGCCCAGGGGTTGACTGTTCATTCATTGGTAGTGTGAAGTAGTATTTAGTTGTGGCCTTTAGTATTATTCCTGCCCTGTATTCATTGATGGCCTTTAGTTTCCATTCATGCTTTTTAGTTTTTTCGTGCGCTATTTTTAGTGTTCATTCAAGATCTGTAGTATGAGAGTTACAAGCGAACTTCTGTTTGATTAGGCAGATAAACTGTTTCTTTTAGGTGTGCTTATACCAAACCGTACTGAGGGCTAAATGTATTAAAACAAGGCGTTCAGGTGCTTCTGTGGTTATTTCATGCTACATACGTCATTATACTACATGAGTTGAGTCGAGAATCGACATCGCAACAATCAGGGCAATCCCATGCATGCTCCGTCCCCATCTTCAGCAGCCAGCGCAGAGTTCCAATACTGATGGTACCGGTCACAATCTGGTCATTATCCTACACGTGTCATATAAACAGTGGCTTATTTTATAGTTTTTGTTTTTGTTTTATTGGTGATGGATCGAACATCTTTCCCGCTTTCAGCTCAAAATGTTAAGGTCACTGTTGGGGGCGTTGTATAGGGTCCGATTTTGTACTCAGGTAACACATGCACGTGAGATACACAGTTATTACAAAAGGTCCAAGGGGCACTATTACAACCTTACGTACAACACTCCAAGCCGTGCGGTGTAAATGGAACATCCTACTTATTCCACAGTAGACACGTGAAATGATAAATGAACAAGGTTTGCCGACTAATATACACTAGCAAAACTAACTGAACAACGGCATACCCGCCGATACACACTGCTTTAATCTCTGATAATTGGATTCACTCACAACAAGGAATATCTCAATATTCCCAGGTCGACACCTACTCGGACCAGGGTTCCGAGGTGCAGTGCAATTTACGCTGAAAATACCCACAGGAACTCAGAAGTTTGGTTGAAGCACATGATAACAGCCAGACAGTGCTATGGGTCCGTACTTCGCCCAACTGCTGTACTGATGCCTACTCGTCGATGTCGACCACCTTGCCTGGATTCCTCAAAGTGGGAATACGTCCACTCACTTATTCCGGACCTTCAGCCACTGCCCGCAAACCTGACCATTCTTCCCCGGACTCACGCGCTGATCTCACAAAATGTGTATTCCACGCTTTCCAGCAAGGCTGTTCCTTGCCTGTGGAAAACACTTCCCAGCAATATCCTCTGGTGTAGCAGCTTCCTCTCCGCGAAATAACTGCTTACCACAACCCCGCAAGCTTCACATGACTGATCAGCACTACCTTCGATCTCCCCTAAGTCCACTCATACACATTCATGTGACCTCCATTATACTCCTGCGAGTGACTCCCAGCAGTCACCCTGACCATATATCCAATGCGTCAAAAGAGTCCTTGGTGGTTGTTTTTGTTGTTATTGTTTAAACTGCATGTTTCTTTGTCAGATTCCCATCCATTGACCTGTCTGATTCCCATCCATTGACCTGTCTGATTCCCATCCAATGACCTGTCTGATTCCCATGCAGTGGCCTGTCTGATTCCCATCTTTTGACCTGTCTGATTCCCATCTTTTGACCTGTACGATTCCCATTCATTGACCTGTCAGATTCCCATCCATTGATCTATCTGATTCCCATCCATTGACCTGTCCGACTTGAAAACCTAACGGTAGCAACTTACTGCATAGCTCATTGAAACACATTGACCCCTTACCTCTTCAATTAGGAGACACGTCATAGGAGTCAGCGGTTTACCGTGAGTAAAGTAAATAAGTAAAGACCCTGATCACACCTTTGACGCATCTGGCAGTGTAGTCCTGGGCCTATATATTTGTTATAGACCAGTCAGCATTCAATGTGGTCAACACCAGTCCGGCCGCCTTTACTTCCAAGACAGTTACCAGAACCCGCATTTTAGGCTGGGTCTTCCTGGGAGCCAAGGTCAGTTCTGAAAAGAATCCACCTACATGGGGATTTAAACCCAGACCTTAGCGTCGGCAGACCAACGTCTCGCCGCTGCGCCACCTCGATCCGAGGTTACAATATGATCTGTTTCCCAAGCCTGCCAGACTCGCGTACAGAAGGTGGTCTTTCCCGGCGCCCGATCTGAAAATACAGTTTGGCATAAATATGTCGCCCTGCACGTGCTGGGGTGGATGTCTGACTGCTAGAATGTTCTGTTCCGTGCCTGGAAAGGTTACCTTGTAGTGCTTTGACATTTTCATGCGTTAGTGACGTTAAATAGCTTTCAATCAAATATGTTCTCTGGCGGGGATTGTAATAAGACATGTTGTGGGTAATAATAGAGATGGAAGAATACGGGCGCTTACTTCCGTCACTCCTGATTTAAATGCGATAGTTTTGGAAAGAGGGATGTTCTAAGGGACGGGAGAGGGAAGAAAAAAGGTTGGGGGAGGGGGGGGGGGGGGTTAATGTCTCTATTTGACCCAAGGATAGCCAACTAATCAGCCAGCCAAGCAACCAATCAGCTACCAACCAAGCAGCTAGCCAACTAATCAGCCAGCCAAGCAACCAATCAGTTGCCAACCAAGCAGCCAGCCTACTAATCAGCCAGCTCATCATCATGCAGCAGGTCCTTTGCATAGACTAACTAGCTGGGCGTATTTTGTGTTTTTTGCGTACAACTTCGACTCTTTCGTGTGCCTGCAATATGCATAGGAGTCACTGCTGTCTGTCACCTTCACAGCAAGGTAGTCACAGCTGTCTGCCACCTTCACAGCAAGGTAGTCACAGCTGTCTGCCACCTTCACAGTAAGGTAGTCATAGCTGTCTGTCACCTTCACAGCAAGGTAGTCACAGCTGTCTGTCACCTTCACAGCAAGGTAGTCATAGCTGTCTGTCACCTTCACAGCAAGGTAGTCAAAGCTGTCTGTCACCTTCACAGCAGGGTAGTCACAGCTGTCTGTCACCTTCACAGCAAGGTAGTCACAGCTGTCTGTCACCTTCACAGTAAGGTAGTCACAGCTGTCTGCCACCTTCACAGCAAGGTAGTCACAGCTGTCTGCCACCTTCACAGCAAGGTAGTCACAGCTGTCTGCCACCTTCACAGCAAGGTAGTCACAGCTGTCTGTCACCTTCACAGCAAGGTAGTCACAGCTGTCTGCCACCTTCACAGCAAGGTAGCCACTGCTGTCTGCCACCTTCACAGCAAGGTAGCCACTGCTGTATGTCACCTTCACAGCAAGGTAGCCACTGCTGTCTGCCACCTTCACAGCAAGGTAGCCACTGCTGTCTGCCACCTTCACAGCAAGGTAGCCACTGCTGTCTGCCACCTTCACAGCAAGGTAGCCACTGCTGTCTGCCACCTTTACAGCAAGGTAGCCACCAGGTAAACCGGACAAGCCGGGCAGCTCTCTGTGTCACCAAGCACTCCTAGAGCACGTTGTCATTGGGCTTTTTAGCCGACTGACATCCTCAGAATGAATGTATGTGTGGTTGAGTGTTGGCAGGTTTGTTTTCCTAGCTGTCATGCATTTGCATTGTTTATCAAGTGAGATAAATATTGATACATTGAGCCATGTCATGTGCTACATTGAGCCATGTCATGTGCTACATTGAGCCATGTCATGTGCTACATTCAGCCATGTCATGTGCTACATTGAGCCATGTCCTGTGCTACATTGAGCCATGTCATGTGCTACATTGAGCCATGTCCTGTGCTACATTGAGCCATGTCCTGTGCTACATTGAGCCATGTCCTGTGCTACATTGAGCAATGTCCTGTGCTACATTGAGCCATGTCCTGTGCTACATTGAGCCATGTCCTGTTTGATTCAGTGTCCTTTAATTTGCCACTTTTCTTCATGATGTTTATGACATTTACTGCCATGTCATCTACCACTTAGTGCCATGTCATGTGCTACTTTATGTCGTACCATGTGTAGCTTGGGGCAATGCTGTGTGCTACATTGAGCCATGTCATGTGCTACATTGAGCCATGCCATGTGCTACATTGAGCCATGCTATGTACAACTTAGGGCAATGCCACGTGGCACATTGAGCCATGTCCTATGCTACATTTTGCCATGCCATGTACAACATAGTGCCATGTCATGTGCTACATCGTGTCACGTCACCTACAACAATGTTTTGTCATGTGCTATATTGAGCCGTGTCATGTGCTGTGTTGTGCCGTGTCATCTACAACTTTGTGCTATGTCATGTGTTATATACCACATCTAGTGCTACATTGAGCCATGCGTTGTATGATTTAGTGTGCCACTTTTCTTCATGACATTTGACATTTACTGCCATGTCATCCACCCACTCAGCACCACACCTACACAACTAGCTACATAGCTACAATAACACAGTTCACTTATTTCCTGAACATTGTAAGTGACAAGGTTTATTTATTTCAGTGATAAAAAGGAATATAAGAATATTTTATATTCATGTGCAGGTGAATGAGCTGAACTTTGTCAACCAGAAGGTGATGTTGATGCCAGATGATTTCAAGTCCTACAGCAAGATTCGTGTTGATAACCATATGTTCAACAAGTGGGTGGTTAGACATTCTCTTATTGTATGTGTTTCTGCAGTGCTGCGTAGACACAGGTTCCGTAGGTTTAAGAATAGATAGACACAGGTTTACTATGCTTAGCAGTAGGTAGACAAAGACTCAGTATATTCAACAGTAGACACAGGCTCTGTAGGTTCCACAAAAGATAGACAGGTTTACTATGTTCAGCATTCGGTATACACAGGTTCCGTAGGTTTAAGAATAGGTAGACACAGGTTTACTATGCTTAGCAGTAGGTAGACAGAGACTCAGTATATTCAACAGTAGACACAGGCTCTGTAGGTTCCACAAAAGGTAGACAGGTTTACTATGTTCAGGATTCGGTATCGACAGGTTCCGTAGGTTTAAGAATAGGTAGACACAGGTTTACTATGTTTAGCAATAGGTAGACAAAGACATAGTATATTCAACAGTATTTAGACACAGGCTCTGTAGGTTCCACAATGGTTATACGGGTTTACTGTGTTCAACAATAGATAGACAGGTTTACCTTGTTCAGCAAAAGATAGACACTTTTGTTCAGTAGGCTCAACAATAGACAGACACAGGTTCAGTAGGTTCAACAATAGGTAGACACAGGTTTACACGGTTCAGCATAAAGTAGACAGAGGTTCACTGGGTTCAGTAGTATGTAAACATCAGTTTAGTAGGTTCAAAAATTAGTAGACTCAAGCTCAGTAGGTTAATCATTCGCTATACACAGGCTCACTACCTAAATTTAATCATTACGTAGACGCATGATTAGTAGTTTTACCATTAGGTAGACGCAGGTTGACTGGATGCAGCAATAGGGTGCACTCAGGTTCTTTAGGTTAACAGGTTGACAGGGCTCAGCAATAGGTAAATTCAGGTTCATTGGGTTGAATAATAGGTAGACAGACTCAGTAGGTTCAACAATAGGTGGACACAGTTCTGCCAGATTTAGCACTAGGAGACACATTTTACTAGGTTCAGCATTAAGTAAACACAGGCTCAGTAGGTTCAACAGTAGGTAGGCACAGGCTTGGGGTTTTTTTTTTCTTTGAAGTCAAAGTGCAGCTACCGGAGAAGCAAGAAACCAACAGTCTGCATTCAGATAAGCCAGGTCTGTTAAATTCTGGAACAGGACTAAAGTCCAGAAGTGGATGAACAACCAAAGCTTTCTGCCAGAGTTTACATCCAGTTTTCTTCTTCCTAGCATTCACAACTGTAAACTGTGGCAGAAGTGTCTGGTTGTTTATCCACTTCTGGGTTAGAGTCTTGCTCCAGAACTTGAATTTTGCATGCACATATGTTTTACAGATCTAGCTTACTTATATGCAGGCTGTTGGTTCCTCATCTCTCAAGCAGGTGCGCTCCAACTTCAGAGGAAAAATCCCTAATAAGTCATCGTCATGATCATCATCATTATCATCATAGATCACTTCTGCCGTTAAATGTCGAAGGGAGGAATAATTTGCAATCTAGTGCACCCTGGTTGCCACTAGCTACTGTCATGCTGAGAAGGCAAAAGGTGTCTTTAATGTTGTCGATCCATATTTTTGTGGCTGTCCTCTTGATTCTGTAGCTGATCTTTTGAGATGTAGTGCTTGTGATGGTATTTGATCTTGCTGCATTCTAACAAGATGGCCAAACCACTTAATTTGCTGTTTCTCAATGAATCTAGTACAAGGTGGCGTTCCCACAATCTGTCTGATAGTATCATTATTCACTCGATCTCGGATGGCTAGGTTGGCTGCTTTTCTCACACATCTCATCTCGCAAGTGGTGATTTTGTGTACATGGGCTTTAGATAGTGTCCAAGTTTGGCACTGGTAGCTTAATGTTGTCATAAATATGCTGTTCATAAACTAGACTCTTTGCACTCACAATTATGTTTAGATGTCTTAATAATGGTGGCAATTGGTATATAAGGGGACTTGCTTTCTGGTGTCTTTCTGTTTCTCTGTCATTTCTGCCATCTTCCTTGATCACACTTCCTAGCATTTAAATTCCCTAACTTGATTCAGACCAGAACCAATCATATGTATGTGTAGCGGGCCAGGAGTTCAGTAGAATCTCATTATTTGTGTCCTTCCTGATTTGTATTCCTTTCTGATGCTAATCATTGTATGAACTCTTCTGTCTTCACTTGCGTATGGAACTAGGTCTCCAGTTCATTAAAATAGTGCGGTCCATATAACTGATTCTGTTTTTGGTAAATAGGAACTCACCTGATGCTACATCCAGTGGGTATGTTGAGTGGGGCATGATGCAGACAAAAAAGTGAATTCTGATTTACCCAGTGTGTGTTCATGGGCCTTACGGGGGGGAGGGGGGGGGGGTATTACAGCCTTTCTGTAATGACATTACAATGTCCTATAACTACCCTTTTAAAGGGAAATGAAGGAGAAGAAGATTTCTGAACTGAAGTTGTATTTTCAAGCCTAGATGAAAGAGATTGAAGAGTGCGAAAGATGTCAATACATATGAAAACTCAAGTGTGCATAAAGTCCAGGTACATTGCATGACACCTTGACACAGAAAGGCAAAACTTGTTGACCAGTCCTTGTATCTTGAAAGTATTTTCATCATGCTATAGCCCTAACTTTTGTGTTTGAATAGAGATAACTTTTTTTGTTTTTGTTTTTGAACAGAGATATTATGCCTAGCAAGTTCAAGGTGAAAGAATATTGCCCAATTGTGTTCAGAAATTTAAGGGAACGTTTTGGTTTGGAAGATGCAGATTATATGGTGAGAATCTTGTGTCCGTTTTGTAATGTCATGACCATCCGGCAACACATTATATTCTTGTTGGCACTAGATATTGATTTATTTTACCATATACTATTTGCATGATTTCTCACCTGCTTTTTTTTTCTTTCCATCACTTCTCTATATAGAGCTCTCCTGCATATAAAATTCTCTTTCTCTGAGCAGAGAAAAATAATGAGAACGGTGATAAAGAGAACTGGTGAGAGATAAAGAGAACTGGAGAGAGATAAAGAGAACTGGTGAGAGATAAAGAGAACTGGTGAGAGATAAAGAGAACTGGTGAGAGATAAAGAGAACTGGTGAGAGATAAAGAGAATTGGTGAGAGATAAAGAGAACTGGTGAGAAATAAAGAGAACTGGTGAGAAATAAAGAGAACTGGTGAGAGATAAAGAGAACTGGTGAGAGATAAAGAGAACTGGTGAGAGATAAAGAAGAACTGGTGAGAGATAAAGAGAACTGGTGAGAGATAAAGAGAACTGGTGAGAGATAAAGAGAACTGGAGAGAGATAAAGAGAACTGGAGAGAGATAAAGAGAACTGGAGAGAGATAAAGAGAACTGGAGAGAGATAAAGAGAACTGGTGAGAGATAAAGAGAACTGGAGAGAGATAAAGAGAACTGGAGAGAGAGATAAAGAGAACTGGAGAGAGATAAAGAGAACTGGAGAGAGATAAAGAGAACTGAGAGAGATAAAGAGAACTGGAGAGAGATAAAGAGAACTGGAGAGAGTGGTGATGGAGGGTTCAGTTTCCAGAAAACGATGTAAAGGCCGACCCACGTGGAGGTGGATACAAGACACTGAAGCTGCATTGGCTGTGAAAGCACATAGGACTAGAGAAAGACGGACTTTCAGACATGCAAGCTCCTGCTGGTCAGAGTCTGAGGGTGTCATTGTTTGTGGTGGTATCACTGGCGAACGACTCGATATCTAGAACTGGCCCTAACCTAAACCCCCCTATGCACAGATTCAGCCTAGGTCCCATGAGAGAGTCTAGAGTACTTGGCTTCAGAACTGTTAACATTTTCCGCTGCCCCCTAAAAACCCATTTTCCTCCAGAAAAGCACCTCTTTCCTCCTCGTCGCTTCTCAACTCCGACAGCTGACCTAAATTGATCTGGAATCGAAACTGGATAAAGAAAACAAAAATGTCAAACTTAGTCCTCTTTCAGCCGCCCAAAGGCCTGCTTTATCGAGGATGGTTTCTGGCTCTCCTGTCAACTACGGCCGGTAGACAACAGTAGACGGCCGGTCAGTCGGAGTTCTGTCCCTTGGCTACAGTGCAATTACGGAGTGGAAAAGTAGGGAACGAAACAATTGACACAATTACTGTGTGTTGGTGATAGACAGCGTGCACTGCCCTGCTATAATCATACAGTTTGGGTTATGGTTAGGGTTTGGGTTAGGGTAACACATATCATACAGATCCGGAGGTGTCACATCTACGGCCACTAAGTCTTGCGTCGCAAGAACGTGGTCGCTAATGTGAGTCGCGGCATGTGGTCTAGGTCTAGCAGCCATGTCGACGTCACTTTGTGTTGTGATTCGTGCCTTTTCCACTCCGTAATTGCACTGTAGCCAAGGGACAGAACTCCGATTAACTGGCCGTCTACTGTTGTCTACTGGCCGTAGTATACAGGAGAGCCCGGTTTCTTTGCTACCTGATTTTCGTTTGTTTCTTTGCGGCGATCATTTTCGCCTAAGTTTGATTTCTTGCTGCATTGGCTTTAATTAGGAGTGGATGTTTCACTAGTCATGAGAAGGACAAGTAGAATATGCCTGGGGCGGCCTGGATCGGGTATGGGTGGGAGTAGATCTGGATGTTTGAGCAATCATGCCTGGCTGGTTTTGCGCTAGTGCTTTTTTCTGGTCCGGTGACCTGGATTTGGTAGGTGTCATGGCGGCTTGGGTGGCTGCTATTGGTTCCTGGTTTCTACTGGGTTTTTCTGCTTGGGTTGCCTCTGTTGTGTTAACAATCTTTGTTTACTTAGTAGGCGTGTGGTTGGTGGCGGCTTTTCTGTTTGTTTGACTGGTTCCATCCATTTTTTTGTGCATGCTTTTTTTTTAGGACTATGTGGGCTCTTAACAGTTCTGCGTGAAGTTTCAAATCGTGTTCCCTGTGTTTTACGTAAAGGTGTGGATTTAATTCATCTGATACCTGAAGTCCTTAATATTCACAATCTCTCCGCCCACTCGCAGCAGCCAGTTAAACACACTGCGTAGCTCGCCGTCCACTCGCAGCAGCCAGTAAAACACACTGCGTAGCTCGCCGCCCACTCGCAGCAGCCAGTAAAATACACTGCGTAGCTCGCTCCATATACGCGCAATATAGAAACCTCTTCCCAAATATTAGACAAGGTGACACTCCTCTAACCAAGACTAGCATGTATCACGGGTGACAACGCATGGATAAATGTCAAATTATTCTTTGTTTGGGCCGGGAAACATAAATTGGACCAACTCAAGTTCTGAATCATGACCAAAGTCCAGGAGTGGATGACCAACCAGAGTTTACAGCCTATTCGAATAAGAAGAAAAAAAATAAGAAGCATCAACTAATATGGGACTACCATAATTAGTACCCTCGTACTAACTTTTGTACCCCAAGGTAGAAGAGGAGCGACTAAGTAAAGTACTAACCTTTGTAGCAGAGCGGCAGAAAAAAAACTCGAGGAATAAATTGTTTCATTAAAACTGTTCTCTTTTTTTTTCTCTCTTCAGAATTCACTAACCAAGCAGCAGCCCATATCTTGCGACTCTCCAGGTCGCAGCGGAGCACGAATGTTAATGTCACGTGACAAAAGATTCTTATCAAAACTCTAGTCTCCGAGGAAGTAGAAATGATGCACCACCTTCTTAAACAGTACCATCAGGTGACTATGTGACTTGTTTGTGTTGTCAGGCCAAATACCACATGTGCTGCTTAGTGGGCTCAGTACAATGTGATCATCTGAGATAGGTTTGTTGCGTATCCTTTACAGGACATTGCAGGTTTTTCTAGGCAAATTTACGTCCAGTAGTTTGCCATTGTTTTCTGGACAGTCGGCTTTCTTGATGCCACTGTCGAAACAAACGCAAGGCCCATGGCCTGCAGCTAGGATCGAACCCGGCATCACAGAATTACGAAGATTTTGCATCGACTTAGCCACAAAGCCGACTCATCTGAGATACAAAATATATAATATCTTTGTGCATTTGAGTTTTCACATGCACACACCATATATATGTGTGTGTGTGTTAAAATGGCTGTGTTTGGTATGACCATATATAGATTTCTTCTTCTTACTTTTACTTAGTGTTTACTGGCTGAAAGTTCTGGTTTTTTTTTCCCACTTCTTGACTTTGGTCTTGTTCCGGACCTTGATTTTTGTGATGTGTGCACATTTGTTTTACAGATGTGGCTTATTTATATACAGACTGTTGTTTCCTTGCCTTTCAGTGAGATGCACTCTGTCTTTGAAGTAAACACCCCTATTTAGTCACCTTTTATGACATGTTTGGTTTGAAGGTGGGGAGCAGTGGGTTTGTCCCTCCTTCCAACTAGGTGGGCTACCAGAACCTGCACTGGGGAAAAAAAAGTTTCAGTTTGTGTCAGTCCTTGTGAGATTATTTAGTTAGTTAGTTAGTCACATTTCCAGCTTGACTCCAAATAGGTCACCCTTGGCTTTATGCTGTGTAGAGGAGGAACTTCATCCCCATCCTTAGGTGGTCTCCGCATGGACTGTGATTTCCAGGCCTCCCGTCAGCTCAGTTAAACGCAGTCATCTGGAAAGACAGACAGATACCTAAATACAGACAGATGCCTACAACATTTCACATCTCAGTGGCATATCTGCTGTGGGACTGTTTTTTGTTTTCATGTTCACCCGTTTCTACTTTTTCTGTGTACATGTACTGGGAGTTGCCATAGTGTAGCGGTTAGATGCTTGCCTGTTGATCAGAGGGTCGTGGGTTCGGAGCCGGACTTTTAAAAAAAATTACCTTGGCTCCCAAGTCGACCTAGCTTTGTGTGGGTACCAGTTTTTTTGTTTTTGTTCAAAAATGACCTTGGCTCCCAAGTTGACCCAGCCTTGAGTGGGTACCAGTTGCATTCCTGAAAAGTAAAGGCGACTAGTGGGATGCTAACCACATCACCCTCTAAGTGTTGATTTGTCTACAAGATACAAGTCTAGCCCTTTATGCCCAATTCGCCTGAAGACGTGGAAAAGGGTCCTTAAACCTTTTTTACATACATGTTCTATCTGTTTCAGTTGATTCTGTCTTTAATGAGATATTCGTTAATATTGATGCTGGTCTGTTTTTGCAGTATATTGTTGAATGCCATGCCCAGACATTACTCCCACAATACCTGGCTATGTACAGAATCACAGTCAATGATGCAGAGACCTATCTCGTTGTCATGCGTAACGTGTTCAGCCCTCGATTATCAATACACAAAAAGTATGACCTCAAGGTTAGTACCGGAAACTAAGTGCATACACCATGTATATTGTAGTTGTATACAGTTTTCTTCTTCTTGCTTCTTTTTCTTTTCCTTGTTTTGCCCTCAAAAGAGTGGTTGGCATGTTGTATTGTGGCTTACAGTAAGGCTGCGATATCTGGGAATTCTGGCCCAGTGTTCTGTTTTCCTTAGAAGTGGAGCTCTGAAACCCATGCGGGGAGTATGCCATGTTTTAACTTGAAGGGTTGTACACGAAAAAGATAGCATATTGCTTAATGTAAACATTGCACAGTAATTGTGTTAAGTGAATCATGAAGATCTTAGTCATTCATTCAGGGGCTATGGCCACAGTGGTTCTATGTAATGAACGTCTAGCAGTCTCTGCCTCTCCGACTAGTTGGACTTTTTCAAGATTGCTGATCTTGTGATGTTTTCTTGAGATTTGCTTCTTTTTTCATTCTCATCCTTGAGAAGTTAATCCTGCGGACAGCAGTCCCTTTCTGGAATGGAACAGTTACCTTCCTCCTACTAGTGTTGGTACCTCTTGCTCATCTGTCTTCAGCTTGTCCCTCCATTATTTTTTCCAAAGCTTCATAACCAGTCTCCCCAACATTTCTTGGAGGGGGGAGGGGGGGCATTAGCGCAGTCGATAGGAGACTAGCTTTCAAATCCAGCTGCGACTTGCTGCAGCCCACGGCCAGTGTTTGAAACTGGACCATTCCCGGGGTCCACCCAGCCTCTAGGAAGTGGGTACCAGAGTTAACACTGGGGTAAATGGAGGAACGTAGCTGTAGCTACGGAGTTGCGTGCGGACAGCGACACAGGTGAATAGTTTCTTATTAGCTGTCCGTACTGGTGGGAGAGCACTTATGGTTTATAACCATCTCACATCTCCTGACTTTATCTTTACCTTTTAAACTTTCCATCACTTCTTAATTTGATTGTTTTTGTCTGTGTGAAACATGGCCTTCTCAAGAAATCTTCCTCTTAGCTTTCACTGGCTGTAAAACCTTGGCTGAAAGTTTTGTTTGAATATTTGTCCACTTCTGGACTTTAGTCTTGTTCTAGAACTTGAGTTTCATGTGCACATCCATTTAACAAACCTGGTTTGTATGTGTATATGCAGACTGTACATTTCAAAGCATAAAGAAAGGCGTACGACAAGGATGTGTATTGTCACCTGATTTGTTTTCAAAATACAGTGAATATATAATGAGATCTTTGATTGATAAGCCCGGAATTGTGGTTGGTGGGCACAATATAAACAAATTTACTTTATGCTGATGACACAGTCTTGATAGCAACAAGTCAGAAAGAACTACAGGAAATAATGGTAAGACAGAAGTAATGGTGGTATCAAACAAACGAATTATTCCTAAGTGTATAATAAAAGTTGATGGTGTTATTTTAGGACAACTAAAGAAATTTAAGTATCTGGGCACATGGATAACATCAGATGGAAGATACATAACTGAGATAAGAAACAGAATAGGACAGGCAAAAACTGCATTTTATAAAATGAAAAACATCTTGTGCAATATATCCTTGTCATTGAGAGTTAGAAAAAGAGGCTCTCCTTTCAACTTAGGCCGTTAGCTGGAAAGCCGCTTAGTGGGAGTTCTCTCCCTTGGCTGCAGTGCGAACACGGAGCGGAGAAGTCACGAATCAAAAAAGGCAGTGAGGTTGACAACAGGGCTGCCAATGCTTGGGTGTTTCGCCCAGATCTGGCTGTTTATATGACGCTTCGGGGAAATCTGGGGTTGTTTTAAAGTAAATATATCCTTATATAACAGTGGTATTAGTTGCCACGGATGTGACTCCTGCAGATCTGTATGACTTAATGACCACCGATAAATTTGCTTGGTTAGGAGTAGGGTTAGGGGTAGCGGTAGGGTTAGGGGTAGCGGTAGGGTTAGGAGTAGGGTTAGGGGTAGCGGTAGGGGTAGGGTTAGGGGTAGCGGTAGGGTTAGGAGTAGGGTTAGGGGTAGCGGTAGGGTTAGGGGTAGCGGTAGGGTTAGGGGTAGGGTTAGGGTTACATGTGACAGTTTTGATGCAGGAGTTCCAAATAATCGCGCACAGTCACATACACACCCAAACAATCGAAGGACTGTGGATGCTACTGAAACAGACAATTCGCCACCAATGGGGCACCAGCCGCGCGCTATTGCCGTCATATTTGGGAGAATTCCAGTGGCGCCACTCCCACAAGCATCAGATTGTCAGCCAGTATTTGGAACTCCTACGTCAAAATTGTCACATCTAACCCTACCCCTAAGCCTACCCCTAACCCTAATCCTAATCCTAACCCTAACCCTAACCCTAAGCCTAACACTAACCCAAACCCTAACGCCGCTAACCCTATCCGTAACCCTAACCCAAACTCTATGATGACTGTATGATGACTACGCAACCGTATGATGATAGGTAAGTATGTAATTTGATTCGTGACTTTTCCGCTCCGTGTTTGCAATCCAGCCAAGGGAGAGAACTCCCACTAAGCGATCGGCGGCAGTCCAGCTAACGGCCTAAGTTGACAGGAGAGCCGAAAAAGAATTCTTGCTTGCTACATACATCCAGTTTTAACATATGGCTTTGAATCCTGGACAATCGATAGGCAGGCCAAACAATTTCTAGAGACCTCAGAGATGTGGTTTTACAGAAGAATGCTTAAAATACCTTGGACAGCCAGAAAGAGCAACCAAGAGGTTTTGAAAGAGGCGGGAGCCCGAAGACAACTTATCACAGACATCAGAAGGAGACAGTCATCATTTTTGGGCCATGTTATGAGAAGAGGGAAAATAGAACATGTTGTGACCACTGGAAAGATCTGTGGAAGGAGGGATAGAGGAAGACAATGAGAGAAGATGCTTGACAGTCTTGTTGTATGGCATAGAGGTGTGTCGCACACAAACTGATACATGCTGCAAAAGATCGCAGATTATGGAGAGGCATGATCGGCCACGCCAGTCGGCAAGGCACCTGATGATGATGCAGACTGATGGTTTCTTGCATCTCAGGCAGGTGCGTTCCAACTTTGAAGAAAATACACCTGTTTTGATATGTTTGGAGCTCTGGCAGCCACACGAGAATCTTGAGATAAGACAACTATAAACAGATTAGAGAAATTGTATGTAGATAGTCTGTATTTTTTTTAATATTAGGAGAAGGAATCAACTTAAAACTTTTTTGACAGCTGGCAAGATTGATGGGGGGAAATTCAACATGGGGAAGACAAAAAGATGCGTTTATGGATGGGGTGGGGCAAGAGCACTTACTTGCGCCATGATTCTGGTGATCAGTTAAGATGGTGAACCTTGACCGTCTGCACCAGTGTTTCCCAACCTTGTTTTTTGTCATGCTTCACCTTAGCCATTCTACAATTTTTATGCCACCTGTGTAACATAAACATAATATTGTTCATGTAATATTGTAATATTGATCTTGTTCACAGGGCTCAACTGTTGACAGAAGTGCCAGTGACAAAGAAAGGGTAAGTTTTTGAACTGAACTCACTCACTTTGGAGAAAGCAGTCCACCTTCTACTGTGATATAAAGATGTATGCAAGTGGAAAATGAATGATACAGGTTTTGAGTTAGATTTATGAGGTAAAAATGCCATGGACTGTGTTGCGTGGAGAGGGTAAAACCAGGACAGGAATGGAGAATAAAAAAAAAAAAGATTGCGGAAAGCTTGAGAGCCAAGCATCGGAGAAGAAGCATATATATAATGGCAAAAGTGATCTTGGAATCCCATGCTGTAATTGTAGAAGACTTTTCTTAATGCAGGAAGTACGGGAGACAGAAGGTTGTGGATGGACATGACTACCAGTGCCACAAAGAATACAGGTAGACATTTCTTAACATGGGCGGGTCTTGCTAGTCACACTCGCCATCGCCATGAGCTGTGATTCCCATGCCTCTCTGTGGAACAGCGCTTCTCAGTCTGTGGGTCGTGACCCTTTTTTGAGGCTTATGACCCTTTCACAGGGGTCGCCAAAGACCATCGCAAAACACATATCATTGAAGTTATAAAGGAGCAACAACAAAAAATAATCGTATGGTTGGGGGGTCACCACAGCATGAGGAACTGATTTAAAGGGTTTTTGTGTTAGGAAAGTTGAGAGCCACTGCTGTAGAACAGTATAACACTGCCATCTGGAAAATACAGAGAGGTGCCAGTAATATGAACATGGCATGCTGGGTAGTGGTTCACAGTGAGGCTGTGATATGTGCACCTTTCGGCACAATACATTTAATGTCAGCATATCCTAAGTTAGTCCCCTTTTACGACATGTGGGCTATTATTATTTTTCTCAAAAAATGGGGTGGGGAGTTTGGAGTAACTCACACAGGATATAGCAGTGTTTTTCCTTAGTCCGTTACCATATTGAGAACACAAACAACTACATATTTCACGATTGATTGCCTGACATATTGCGTTACATTTCCCTAAATGGCTCTGAAATCTGGCTGGAATACAACTGGTAATCTGGTAATCCTAGTTTCAGCATCATAGCAAACGGGTCACCCCATAATATACAACTAAATACAACTAAAAACTAAAAGAGACAAATGATTGTTACAAACTGTTTTCCCTGTGTGGGTATCAGGGCCCCATTGGGGAAGGGAAATGGGGGGGGGGGGGGATAGACCCACTGCATCTCTAACAAGCATGTCATAAAAGTTGACCTTTCAGGGCTTTTTTTGAAGTCGTAGTGCATCTGCCTAAGAGGCTTCCAGATAAGCCAGATCTGTGTGCATCTGCCTAAGAGGCTTACAGATAAGCCAGATCTGTGTGCATCTGCCTAAGAGGCTTACAGATAAGCCAGATCTGTGTGCATCTGCCTAAGAGGCTTACAGATAAGCCAGATCTGTGTGCATCTGCCTAAGAGGCTACAGATAAGCCAGATCTGTGTGCATCTGCCTAAGAGGCTTACAGATAAGCCAGATCTGTGTGCATCTGCCTAAGAGGCTTCCAGATAAGCCAGATCTGTGTGCATCTGCCTAAGAGGCTTCCAGATAAGCCAGATCTGTGTGCATCTGCCTAAGAGGCTTCCAGATAAGCCAGATCTGTGTGCATCTGCCTAAGAGGCTTACAGATAAGCCAGATCTGTGTGCATCTGCCTAAGAGGCTTACAGATAAGCCAGATCTGTGTGCATCTGCCTAAGAGGCTTACAGATAAGCCAGATCTGTGTGCATCTGCCTAAGAGGCTTCCAGATAAGCCAGATCTGTGTGCATCTGCCTAAGAGGCTTACAGATAAGCCAGATCTGTGTGCATCTGCCTAAGAGGCTTCCAGATAAGCCAGATCTGTGTGCATCTGCCTAAGAGGCTTACAGATAAGCCAGATCTGTAAAATGGATGTGCGTGCAGAAAGTCAGGTTCTGAAACAACAGTAAAGTCCTGAAGTGGTGAACTTTCTGCCACAGTTTACAGCCGGTGAGTGCAAAGAAGAAGATGCAATTACAAACTTTTGAGAACAGAATCTTACGAAGAATATATAGATCCATGGAAGATTCAAACAGCTGAGAATGGAGGATGAGAAGCAACAATGAAATTTATGAACTATTGACGTCACTGCTAATAACAGGCATCAAGAGGGCTAATAGTCTGCAATGGCTGTGATAGTTAGGGAGAGTGGCAGATAACAAAGAGACAGATACTACCTAGACAAAGTTTGAGTGAGTGTAGACCAGTGATTCTTAAACTGCCCTGTAGCACCACGGGAAGCCGCGACCTCTTCACAGGGGCGCCGCGACCTCTTCACAGGGGCGCCGCGACCTCTTCACAGGGGCGCCGCCACCTCTTCACAGGGGCGCCGCCACCTTTTCACAGGGGCGCCGCCAGCTCTTCACAGGGGCGCCGCGACCTCTTCACAGGGGCGCCGCGACCTCTTCACAGGGCGCCGCGACCTCTTCACAGGGGTGCCGCGACCTCTTCACAGGGGCGCCGTGACCTCTTTACTGGGGCGCCGTGACCTCTTCACAGGGGCGCCGCCACCTCTTCACAGGGGCGCCGCCACCTCTTCACAGGGGCGCCGCCACCTCTTCACAGGGGCGCCGCCACCTCTTCACAGGGGCGTCGCGAAATATTGTAAAAACTTCATAATTAATTTAACCAAGACACTAATGCTCATACTTTTACTTAGGCTAGGGCACCGTGGAAAGATTTTAATTTAAAAAAGGCGCCGCCACCAAGACAAGTTTGGGAAAACATTTGGGTAGACCATAAGGCAGACCAAGAGGATGGTTGAGAGATAATACACAGTGCAGCAAACACTTGGAGTCAGTAACTGAAGAGAGGAAGGTCAGGCACACAGATTAATGAAAGCAGGTGATGTCAGCTGTGATGAACCGGAAGATGTCCAAAATATTAAAGAAGATGAAGAAAAGACGATATTTCACTGCATCTTATTCAAAATTACATCAGTATAAAATGGAGCTAAAAAAATGAATCCTCTTGATTAAAATAACACAAATCACATAGTACCTTGCTTCACTTTGGTTTTTACCCACACAAGTGTTAGACTAATTACGTTTTTTCTGCTTGTATAACAAGAAATAGTTGGGGTAATCACAGTATGTCTGGGCCTTCCCATATTATGCTAACATTGAAAATGAGATTTGTGCCTGTTTATTCACATTGTGATTTATTGCTCTGCTTTACTCTAGTTAAAAGATATACATTACTACTGAGAACTTATTTCTTACTTGGCATATTTTGCTGTAGATGGACCCAGCCTCAAATTGTTACTAAGTAATATCCTGGGGAATAAAGGTAGCTAGCGAGATATTGACTGCATCAGCCTTCGAGTGCCAGTTGGTCTATATAAATGTATTTTGCTGCATCTCTGAAGATGCAGACTACAGAAATGTCCCCAACACATAATAAAGCAAAAATCGAGAGGTTTGCCTTCATTGCACTGGGTTTTATCCCATATGGCTTGGTCTCTCTATGCAGAACAGCTAACTGCCTACCGAGAGTGTCACACAAAGCACAAACTTTGTAGCCCAGTCGACAGTCCCCAGGGATGTCCATATAAATTACAGTCATGAACTGAATGGCGCATCCTTGAAAAAACCTACAACCTTCAGAGCACAAGGCAAACGACTTGAACACTTCACAGTGGAGACCCCCCGAGAAAAAAAATATGAATTCTTTCAACTGAAATACACAAAGCACATAGTCCATTGTTTCATTGTGTGTTTTACGATGGAAGTCTTAGACTGATCACATGTTCCTTCTGTTTACATAAAATAAAATTGCCAAGACAATCAAAATATGCTTGGGCAGTCCTGTATTATGCCAAGATTGCAAATTATATTTGATTTACAATGTGATGTTTTGTTCTGTTGTAGTTGAAAGAACTGCCCACCTTCAAAGATAATGATTTCCTCAATGATGGTGCTAAGATTTTCATTGGTCCAGAGCAGCGGAAGAAATTGTTAGACACTCTCCAAAGTGATGTTGATGTAAGTACTTCAGAATACAAACTAGACATCATCGTTATTTTGTGGCTTATCAGGTGTAATCTGTTGAGTTATTTTGAATACACTTTGACTTATTCTTCATAACTTTCACTGGCTGTAGACTGTGGCAGAAAGTTTTGATTGTTTGTCCACTCCTGGACTTTGATACTGATACAGAGCTTGAGTTTTTGTGTGTGCACATAACTTTTAAAGATTTGACTTATTTGTACGCAGACTGGCCAATCAGTGGTGTTTGCCATGTTTGTTATTTAACTGTTGTTTACTTTTGTGTGTGTTTGGGTGTGCCATCTTCACACTCAAGGACAGCTACAGTGTTCCCAGTGCTGTCTTTGGTACTGATTAATCATTGTCATTTCAGCCAGCTTGCCTCCCAGAATGTTAGTGTACCATTTCTTATGAAGGTGGGTTGAGTCGCCTGCATCAGAATTTTAAATTATGAAATTTGCATAATTCTAAAAAAAAAAAAAACCAGTCATGTTAATTTTAGATCGATCCTTAAAAAGCATGTCATAAAAGGAAACTAATTCAGGGTTTAGCCAAAATCAGGCGTGTTGAGCAAAAAGGCACAAATATCACAGCCTAGCTGTAAACCTCAAGACAACATGCCAACTGCCCTTTTTAAGGGTGAACACAGAAAAAGACGAAGAATACTTTTGAAATAGAAGTAAATCCTTGTCTCCTGAATTCTATTGTTTCCTTGTGGGTTCTGACGCCTGATTCTGAGGAAACCTTCTTTCTTCTTCTTCACATTTACCGGCTGTAAACTCTGGCTGAAAGTTGTGGTTGTTTGTCCACTTCTAGACTTTAGTCTAATCCCAGAACTTGAGTTTTGTGTGCACAGTTGTTTTACAGGTCTGGATTATTTGTAAGCAGACTGTTGGTTCCTCACCTCTCAAACAGATGCATTCCTAGTTCAGAGGAAACACTCCTGTTTAGTTGACTTTTATGATATGCTTGTTTAGGGCATTGGGTGTATCTTTTTCCCCCAAAATGGGGCTCCGGAACCCACACAGGGATCTTGGGGGAGTAATCAAAGAATAAATCAATTGATGCTTAGCTAGCATGTTGTAAAAGGTGATAAGTTAAGGGTTTACTGAAACTTTACTATGAAAGGCATACACCAAAAGGGAAGAGGAATGTAAAAGATGAGGTTGACCAAGAACAAGATAGAAAGATAACAAAAGAGTAGCTCAACAACAGAATGATTTGTATGTGGTTGAAGTGGCCAGAAGAGCAAGGAACAGTATCTCCCTCGACACACAAAGTGCAGGAGAAGCTTTGAGCTGGATGTGTTGGTCCAAAAGGCACAAGCAGATATCACAGCTTAGCTGTAAACTACAGCGCAATGTGCCAACCACCTTTTAAGAGCAAATACAGAAGAAAAATTCTTCATTTGATATTGTTAATTGTCCTCGAAATAACATTCATTGAATTGTCATTATCTTTACAAAATGCAATGAAATCATGAACTGACTGCTTTGGATTTTCAGTTCTTGAGTAGTCTCAATCTCATGGATTACAGCCTAATTGTTGGTATTCATGACCGGGACCAAGAAGATGAATCTGGCATCAACTTTGCCATGCCCTCTGGGGCGGATGAAGAGGAACTAGAGGAAGAAGATGGAGAATCAGGAAGTTTTGTAGCATCATCCGGTGACCAGGTATGTCTAGCATTCTTTTTTTTTCATAAGTTTGTTTCACTGCCCGAAGTTTTCACATCTAAAATCTAAGAAGAAAAAAAACCACAGTAAAAAAAAAAGTAGACACATAGGCTAGAAACAAAACAGATTAGCTAAAAACGAACAACCAGACAGATTGGCTAAAAACAAACAGCCAGACAGATTGGCTGCTAAAACAAACAGGCAGACAGATTGGCTAGAAAAAAAAACCAGTCAGACAGATTGGCTAGAAACAAATAGGCAGACAAATTGGCTAGAAACAAACAATCTGACAGATTGGCTAGATATTAAACAGTATCAGTGTTATCAGTAAACACATATAAAATGTAACAATAAATGGAATACTTTCCCCAGGCCTAAAAAACAATATCTATTGGCGACACAAACTGTGATCCCAGCACTAAGACTTGTGAAAAAAATTCATGTTTACTTTAAAAAAAGCTTTTTGTTTCACAGGAAAACACCCCTAAATGCTGTTTTTAACTAATATATTTATATCTTGACCTCCTAAATGCTTGCACACGTGCGAACCTGGCCATTTGCATTAACTATGCATCTTGTAAACACGTCACAAGTTGGAAAGTGAACATTTATGGGGGATTTGACCTAACCATAAGTTTTAGTGCACAGGGTTAAGATGATAGCTTGATTTGTGTTGACTTGTAAATCCTGCTTGAATTTTATTATTTGTCCTTTTCTCTCCCCCCAACTATTTTCTGGTTTTTTTTTAAATTTTATTTTAATGGTTTGTCTTTTCTGATAGAAAGTTCTGTTTGTTCGTCAAGTCCTAGACTGTCTTGTTCCAGAACCAGAGTTTTGCGTGTACATCTGCTTTTTTTAAAAACCGATCTTGCTTATTTGTATGCAGACTGTTGGCTCCTCGACTCATAAGCAAATGCACTCCGACTTTAAAGGAAACATCCTTAGTGAGTCGACTCTTATGACATGCTTGTTAGGGAGCAGTAGGTCTGTTCCATCTCCCCAGTGCAGTGACGACATTGAGGAGCAGCAAGCGATGTACGGAGATAAGGCTGTTCTGTGACTTACCGTCCGCCAGAGATGTTGCTCGTCTAGGCTGCGAGCAAATTTTTTGTTTTAGTGCTGAATCTCAGCAGTACAGTAGTTCTGCCCGCTCGACAGAAGGTTTACCCGAGGGTTGTCATTCAGTAGTATGTTCGACTAGTGGACTTTACCCATGTTCCAAATGAGCTTTGATAGATGTTTTTACCCATGCATTGGGGGGGGGGGGGGGGGAGGGGGGGGGCCTGATATGAACCAGACTGGACTCTACATCTCTAGAGGTCACTAGCACTGAGATCCCCTGCCACCTCGCTTCAGGTCACAAAGGTAAGCCCTTATCTATGGCGAGGGCGGGCAGCAGGAATCTTGCATAAGGATGTGTAAAACCATCCCAGAACTGGCTGATGCTCTGGATGAGGTGCAGAGTAACTCCTTATACACATCACAATGGCCTTAACTTTCTCTCACGCCTGTGATCACTATCGTCACGCCTGTGATCACTATCTCACGCCTGTGATCACTATCGTCACGCCTGTGATCACTATCTCACGCCTGTGATCACTATCGTCACGCCTGTGATCACTATCGTCACGCCTGTGATCACTATCTCACGCCTGTGATCACTATCTCACGCCTGTGATCACTATCGTCACGCCTGTGATCACTATCTCACGCCTGTGATCACTATCTCACGCCTGTGATCACTATCGTCACGCCTGTGATCACTATCGTCACGCCTGTGATCACTATCGTCACGCCTGTGATCACTATCTCACGCCAGTTGTATGTTGCAAGACTGGGACATTGTCTCAGTTGGTTTTAGAGCTCTCAGTTCTAAAATGCAGTAGAAAATTATATATATTAAACAAACATCTATCGATCATAGAAAGAAGTAAAAAGATAGAAGGATACATGAGACAACATAAATTTTGAAAGCTATAGTTACCATGCCACCTCTAAATGATGGTATCGTCCCATTTAAAAAAAAAAAAAATTTAATGTATTGCCTATAGGAACCATGGTAGACTAATAGTGTTTGGATGCTCACCTGCCAGTCTGAAGGTCTTGGGTTAAATTCCACATCAAGACTAATTTAAATTAAAGTTTATTGTTAAACTTGACTCCCAGGTTGACCTAGCCTAAAATGGGTAAAGTCTTGAGAAGTAAAGGCGGCTGACACCATGTTGACCCCATCACCCATTGAATGCTGATTGGTCTATACAAATGTGAGCCTAGCATCAGACGCCTGGTGCACCAATGACATGAGAGATTCCTTTATTTTACTTCTGCTTTGAAATTGCCCTGTCGTTCTAGACTGCTGCAATGTGCTGTGTATGAAAATTGCCCTGTCATTCTAGACTGCTGCAATGTGCTGTGTATGAAAATTGCCCTGTCATTCTAGACTGCTGCAATGTGCTGTGTATGAAAATTGCCCTGTCATTCTAAACTGCTGCAATGTGCTGTGTATGAAAATTGCCCTGTCATTCTAGACTGCTGCAATGTGCTGTGTATGAAAATTGCTCTGTCATTCTAGACTGCTGCAATGTGCTGTGTATGAAAATTGCCCTGTCATTCTAGACTGCTGCAATGTGCCGTGTATGAAAATTGCCCTGTCATTCTAGTCTGCTGCAATGTGCCGTGTATGAAAATTGCCCTGTCATTCTAGACTGCTGCAGTGTGCTGTGTATAAAAAAAAAGACCACTAAATAAATATTTATTTCCAATTTTATTTGTGTTTTAAATTGTATCATCATCAAGTCTTTTGTCGTGGGGGATCATACCTGTGGGCAAAATGCTATCTTCAGAAACATTTATCAGTTTGTGTGTTGACACCCCCCTCCATACCATGGCAGAAGACTGTCAATAATTATCTCACATTGTCTTCCATTGTCTCTTTTTCTACAGTTTTTTCTAGTGGTCACAACATGTCTAGTTTCCTTCTTCTCATAACATAACCAGACACTGACGAATATCTCTTTCTGATGTTTTGTGATAAGTTGTCTTTCATCTGAGTTGCTCTTTTTGGCTATTCAAGGAATTGTAAGGATTCTTCTGTAAAACCACATTTCTGGGGCTTCAAGAAATTGTTTGGTTTATAAATGTCCGGGATTCACATATATTATTCTGTAAAACCACATTTCTGGGGCTTCAAGAAATTGTTTGGTTTATAAATGTCCGGGATTCACATATATTAAAACTAGCTCTCTGTAGCGTGTGAGAATTCTTTTTCTAACCTCCAATGACATGAACTTATTGCATAACATGGTTTTTCATTTTATAATATGCAGTTTTAGTCTGTCCTGTTCTGAACTTTATCTTTGTGATAGTTATACATCTGCTAAGCCACTTACATTTCTGTCCTTGTCTTAAAGTACAGAACTTGACTTTTATTATGTATATAGACACTGTTCTTTGATATTACCGTTACTTATGTCTTCACCGTGTTCCAGCTGAAGCCCAGTTTATGACTTTCTACCGCCACTGTATCTACCGATCCCTTAGTTCTTTCTGGCTTGTCGCGATCAAGATCTTTTCATCAGCATAATGCAGGTTACGTTACAACCACCAGCCACAATTCTTGCATATCTGTGATAGATCTCATTATATATTCATTTTATAATAACAATAAATCAGGTGATGGCACACATCCATTTCACACACCCCTCTTCATGCTCTGAAATGTTGCCAAATAATTTTTAATTTGTATAGCTGCTGTTTGCTGCCAATACATGCTTTTTTTTCATAGATCTTTTCCATCAGTGTTTAGTTTGTCTAGTAGTTTGATTATTTCCTCATGTTTCACACAATCAAAACCTTATGCATAGTCAATGAAGCATAAGTAGAGATACATTTTCACTTTCATATCTCTTTTTTTCAACAGTCCTTAGGATTTATATGGCACTGTTGTACTTTTTCCTTCTACATACCCATTCTTCTTCTCTCATTTCTAATTTAATCTTGTTTGTTGTTAATTTTGTAAGCAGCTAGAATATGGGGATGATGCAGATGGAGGAAGCCCTCCAGATTCCCCACAGCCAATCACACCAATGCCTCAGTTCACCGGAGAACTTGACCCAGATCTGGAGCACTATGGTGTTCACAGTAATCCAGGTATAGTGAAGATTTAATGAAACAGTGTTGAATATTCTGACATTTCATACAGTCCAATGTATATAACCATTGCTTTCTTTTTCTTCTTTTTCTCCTGCTGCTGCTGCTCCTCTTCCTCTTCCTCTTCTTCTTCTGTTTCTGTGTTTGCCTTAATTAACTCATTTAGTAGCAAACAAGTCACCATGCATTTACTGGTTTCTTTTACCTAATGTACTATTCTTAACCCTTTGTCTTTCCTTCAGTTGTTTCCCCAGTTGTATTAGCCAATTAGGGGTATTTCCTTCGAAGTCGGCGTGCATCTACCTGAGAGACTTTGGGCTTTGCATCTGCCTGAGAGACTTAGTGCTTTGCATCTGCCTGAGAGACTTAGTTCTTTGTATCTGCCTGAGAGACTTAGTGCTTTGCATCTACCTGAGAGACTTAGTGCTTTGTATCTGGCTGAGAGACTGAGTGCTTTGCATCTGGCTGAGAGACTTAGTGCTTTGTGCCTGAGAGACTTAGTGCTTTGCATCTGCCTGAGAGACTTAGTGCTTTGCATCTGCCTGAGAGACTTAGTGCTTTGCATCTGCCTGAGAGACTTAGTGCTTTGCATTTGCCTGAGAGACTTAGTGTTATTTATCTGTCTGAGAGACTTAGTGCTTTGCATCTGCCTGAGAGACTTAGTGCTTTGCATCTGCCTGAGAGACTTAGTGCTTTGCATCTGCCTGAGAGACTTAGTTCTTTGTATCTGCCTGAGAGACTTAGTGCTTTGCATCTACCTGAGAGACTTAGTGCTTTGTATCTGGCTGAGAGACTGAGTGCTTTGCATCTGGCTGAGAGACTTAGTGCTTTGTGCCTGAGAGACTTAGTGCTTTGCATCTGCCTGAGAGACTTAGTGCTTTGCATCTGCCTGAGAGACTTAGTGCTTTGCATCTGCCTGAGAGACTTAGTGCTTTGCATTTGCCTGAGAGACTTAGTGTTATTTATCTGTCTGAGAGACTTAGTGCTTTGCATCTGCCTGAGAGACTTAGTGCTTTGCATCTGCCTGAGAGACTTAGTGCTTTGCATCTGCCTGAGAGACTTAGTGCTTTGCATTTGCCTGAGAGACTTAGTGTTATGTATCTGTCTGAGAGACTTAGTGCTTTGCATCTGGCTGAGAAACTTAGTGCTTTGCATCTATCTGAGAGACTTAGTGCTTTGCATCTGCCTGAGAGACTTAGTGTTATGCATCTGTCTGAGAGACTTAGTGCTTTGCATCTGGCTTAGTGCTTTACATCTGGCTGAGAGACTTAGTGCTTTGCATCTGCCTGAGAGACTTAGTGCTTTGCATCTGCCTGAGAGACTAAGTGCTTTGCATCTGGCTGAGAGAGTGCTTTGCATCTTGCTGAGAGACTTAGTGCTTTGCATCTGGCTGAGAGACTTAGTGCTTTACATTTGCCTGAGAGACGTAGTGCTTTGTATCTGCCTGAGACACAGTGCTTTGCATCTGGCTGAGAGACTTAGTGCTTTTGCATCTGGCTGAGAGACTTAGTGCTTTGTATCTGGCTGAGAGACTTAGTGCTTTGCATCTGGCTGAGAGACTTAGTGCTTTACATCTGCCTGAGAGACTTAGTGCTTTGTATCTGGCTGAGAGACTTAGTGCTTTGCATCTGTCTGAGAGACTTAGTGCTTTGTATCTGGCTGAGAGACTTAGTGCTTTGTATCTGCCTGAGAAACTTAGTACTTTGCATCTGCCTGAGAGACTTAGTGCTTTGCATCTGCCTGAGAGACTTAGTGCTTTGGATCTGCCTGAGAGACTTAGTGCTTTGTATCTGCCTGAGAGACTTAGTGCTTTGCATCTGCCTGAGAGACTTAGTGCTTTGCATCTGCCTGAGAGACTTAGTGCTTTGCATCTGCCTGAGAGACTTAGTGCTTTGTATCTGGCTGAGAGACTTAGTGCTTTGCATCTGCCTGAGAGACTTAGTGCTTTGCATCTGCCTGAGAGACTTAGTGCTTTGCATCTGCCTGAGAGACTTAGTGCTTTGCATCTGCCTGATAGACTTAGTGGTTTGTATCTGGCTGAGAGACTTAGTGCATTCTTCCTTGGTCTTTAATTTGCCATTAGAGCACAGGCTCCCAATTAACTCATGCCAAGCTTTTTAACCCTTTTGCTCTGAAATAATCTGAAAAAGTGACCTTGTATTCCAAGAATGCATCCTTATAATTCTGTAACGCTCTTACCATTAAGAAACTAGAAGGAAGTGACAAAATGTCAGTGTTGGTCTAGTTGTATAAATATCCAAGGGGTCGAATCCTTGGACTGCTTAGAAGACAGGCAAGTGTGAAGTCCTAGGCATTGTTTGATGACATCACGCCTGTTAAAAAGTTTCTTTTAAAATATTTCTAGTCTTACATCAGGACAAGTTTGATTTCTTCATGAAGGAAGGTAATCCCTCAATACAATTGGAGCAAATTCCCCGTGTGGGTTCCGGGGCCCTATTATAAGGAAAACAAGAATAGACCCACTGCCTACCCAAAAGCATGTCATAAGAGTCAACTAATTGGAAGCTTGCTTCGAAGTCGGAGTGCATCTGCCTGAGAGGCAAGGAACCAGCAGTCTGCATACAAATGAGTCAGATCTGTAAAACTGATGCACACGCAACACTCAGGCTCTGGAACAGGAATGCAGTCCAGTAGTGGATGAACAACCAGAGCTTTCCGCCAGAGTTTGCAGCTTTTGAACGCGAAGAAGAAGAAGAATTGGAGCAAATAAGCCAGTTTCATTGACTTTAACCACTTGAAAGTGCTTCGGTAACTTTGCACAAAGAGCAATGTAACTTAATCATGAAATTATGAGATATCACAGTGAATCTAAAGATTCACCCTATTTAATTTAAATACCCAAAAAAAAATATGATACGTATATTTATCCCTGCCATGTCTACATAATTTGCCGTAGTTGCGAGTTATGAAGCTCTCATTTAGGCATACTTGACACTTTTTAGTGTGACATCATATCAACCCATACCCATAAAAGTCAGAAAAAAACACTTTTTTGAGAGGTGAGAGGATTAGAGCTTGTTCATGATTGCTGCAGTTTTGTGGCCAGAATATTCTGTTGCATGTAGTAGCCAGTTTCACACTATGCCACCATTCTGTGGCCCCTTTAGTGGGTTCTGTCAGTTGTCTAAACTTATGAACAAAAAGATTGGCACAGAACCAATACTAAACTACCTACTTCTTCTTCGCGTTCACCGGCTGTATACCCTGTAGAAAGTTATGGTTGTTTGTCCACCTCTGGACTTTAGTCTTGGTCAAGAACCTGAGTGTTGCACGTACATCTGTTTTACAGATCCAGCTTACTTCTATGCAGACTGTTGGTTTCTTGCCTTTCAGGCAGATGCACTCCAACTTTGAAGGATGCACCCAGTTAGTCGACTCCTGTGACATGCTTGTAGGGGAGGCATGGATGATGGGTTTAATCTACATACAAAGATAGCAACAACAAAATTGGTTGACCCCATGAGAGAGACTGCCTTGTGATGCCAAACCATACCAGACACCAAACAGTCTCAGCCACTCTGCTTCTTTGCACATAAATTCACTGCCACTTCTGCTTCTTGACATTATGTCTGTTCATAGAGCAGTGATTCTCAAACTTTTTACGTTGCGGCACCCTTGTCGGGCTAAAATAAAATTGCGGCACCCATAAGTTTAAAGTGGTTTAAATACTTAGGAAAAGAAGAAAAAACAGTGCAGCCCAAATGTAATGCTTATTTATCTTGAATGTGATGAATGAGACTGTTTGGACTTATCGACTGCACCTTAACGAATGCAGGTAGAGGATTTGTCACAGCTCCAGATAAATACAAAGACAATTCTTAGCATATTGACCTTGGCATGTTAGGCAATTTGAAGCATGTCTGAGTGTGAGACACAAAATAAAGTCTTCTCAACACCAGCAAGGGAAGACAAATTAAATTGTAACTTTCAAGTATCTTCATGCCTTCTTTAATAAAACACAATTTTTAGCCGACTTTTCTTGATTATTGCCGTGGCACCCCTGACATACGCTCTCAGTTCAAAAACCACTGTCATAAAGAAATATTTGAATTTGTATTTGTTTCAGTGAACATGAGGTGGTTTGAATTCAAAGGTATAAAAAATGATATTGCATTTACTTGGGGCAGAAAGAGTTAATCAGACTCCCAAAAATGACTCTAATACCCTGGGTAATGTCTGAACTTGAGCCAGACACCAAACAAATCGCAGTGACTCAGGCCCTTGCGCATCTGTTTAATGCCACGCCACTTCTGTTTCTTGACATGATGTCCTTTCATTTTTTAAACTTCCTGTTTATCTGTTGAAACAGAGAGTGGCAGGCGGGAGATCTACTTCATGGCGTTAATCGACATCCTCACCAAATATGGGATGAAGAAACGCACAGCACAGGCAGCCAAAACAGTGAAACATGGTGCAGGAGCAGAGATTTCCACCGTCCACCCCGAACAGTATGCAAAAAGATTCATGGAGTTCATCAGCAAGTGTGTGGAGTGAGCCAGAACTGAGACATTAGTGCTGTGAGGGGTCCACCCATTCTTAAACAGACGAGTGCACTTATTTGTAGTGTTGCTGACAATGAGAGCGACCGAAAGAGCTTTAGGATGGAGTAGCTTGATTTTGCACTTATTGTAGATAAAGATTGTGTAAATCTGTGCATGTCATCCTTCTCTGTTTGGTCTAGTCATTACGTTGTTGTTGTAAAAGGAATCTGCACTGTAGAAAAGTTGTTCTAATTTGTTTACTTCTTTTGCTTTGTTCTTATTTTGTTGTAATATTCTTTTTAAAAAAATAAAGTTTTTTTTTTGGGGGGGGGGGGGGGGGGGGGGGGGGGTAATATCTTTTTAAAAAAAATCTTTACACACATTCATTCAAAAGGCAATGTGCATTGCTGTACAGATTTCATCCACATCATATTTTCTTGTCTGATATCTTGTTTTATGAAATCCTTTCTTGACTTGTGTTTTATTTTGTCTTGCCTTGTCTTGTGTTACCTTGATTTATTTTGTGTCTTGTGTCACCGTATTTTGTCTTGAGCTTTACTTTACCTTACCTTGTTTTGGCCTGTGTCTCACTGTCAGGGGTCAAAAGGCGGGTGGCAAGGTCAAAGAGCGTGTTTATAAAGGTCACTCAACTTGCACTGACAGACATGCTCACTTGTACTTCTCATATTCGCCTCCGACTCCCTGAGCTTGATGAGTACCAAGTGTTATGGGTGCTATCAGATAGTTCAATGTTGATACACTCAAAGCACATTAACACTGCAGTCAAGGCCATGACGACAACAAAAACAAACTGAATCAGAATGTGGACACAATCCACACGAGAACATCTGATGTAGATACAACAAGTTGAGCTCTGTTACTTTTAACTTTATTATTCTATCATTTCTACATTGTTCTAAATAATTCAACATATTATCTAACCCAATAACTAAAACCACTATTCATGAGGCATGGCTACAATGCAGTTGTCCAGACCGTCCTCTAGGACGTCCGGTCGACGGACTGTCCCCAGCCAGTTCACAGCCCGAGCTCACTTATCCTTACTTTAGGCAGTTCATGTGGCCTCTGTGGTCAGGGTGCAGATCATGACAATCACATGTTTAGCACTTGTCTTGAAGACCCACATTTACCCGATCTGCACTCCTACCACGATCATGACACTCACCTTATCTTGAATCTTGCTTTCTCTTATTTTATCTTGTTTTTTACTTTAACTCACCTTGTTTTGGCTTGTGTCTTACCTAATCTTATCCAGAATCCTTCCACTATCTTATCTTGTCTTGAGTTTTACCTTGTCTCATCTTGAATCTTGCTTTATCTTTTTTTTTTTGGGTCTTGTGTTTTATCATGTTTTATTGTGTCTTGCATTTTATCATAACTTATCTTACTATATCATAGGATGTGTCTTGCTTTGCTTTGTCCTGTCTCATGTGGCCTTGACATGTTATTTGTATTGCTTTGCCTTGTCATGTCTTCTTGTCTTGTCATGTCTTACCTTGTTTATTGTCTTGCTTTGCCTTGCCTTATCTTATCTTGTCATTATGTCTTACCTTGGTCTTGTCTTGTGTCTTGCTTTTCCTTTCCCTGTTTTGTTTTGTCTATATACTAGTGGACTGTATGCAGATGTGTACATTATCATCGGATCCTTCCCCGCCATTAATCCTTATGAGTAGGTTGTGTTTTGTCTCTTATATCAGATGTGTACATAAGAATAATATCAAAAAGTACTAGTGAGAAATGTTTTTGTGCATTATGCATGTGTGAAAAAAAAAAGATTAATCACTCTGATTGATCAGGCTGGTCATGGTACTTATCTGCAGGATGAGTCAGAAATATCGCTACACATATTTTCTTCTATGCCCTCACTGGCTGAAAACTCAGGTGGAAAGTTCTGGCTGGTCGTCCACCTCTTCTGGACTGTAGTCATATTCCAGAACCTGAATGTTACATGTGCACATCCATTTAACAGTTCTGGCATATTTGTGTGCAAATTGTTAGTTCCTTGCTTCTCTGGCAGATGCACTCTGACTTCGAAGGAAGCCCCCAGTAAGTCAACTTTTAAGACATGCATATTGTGGGGGTGGAGGCAGTGGGTCTATTCTTGTTTTACCCCACAGTGGGACCCCAGAACCCAGACGGGGCGCTGCACATTGAAAATTGTAACATGTTACACTAAATTGTCGGTGTTTGGCTTAGGCGTTACGAAATGCTTCGTAATTCCTTACTACGTAGTTTGATTCCGCTGCGAGCATTTTGGCAGCAGACCACTTTGTGTTTGATTTCCACATTGTTATGCATTGCTGACAATTCAGAAGGCAATGGCAAACTACTGAATGTAAAACTGCCTGGTAAAATCATAAAGAGCTTCCCAAAAATGTTGGGGTTAGTTCTGCAAAAAAGGATAGACAACTAACTTTACATTACAGAGGGATGTGGTAGGCGGTATGTAAAACCAGAAATAAGAATGATCATCCCACCCACACTGGGCTGCAGGTTACTTTGTAATTGTAAAGTGCCCAAATATAACTGTTTTTTTTTTAAACAGTTGAATGAGGTTTCTGAAGAGGAGAAGCTGGCCAAACAGTTAGGGATGCTGGACTCTCATGCCAGAGTACCAGGTTCTTCTTCTTCTTCTTCTTCTTCACGTTCACCAACTGTAAACTCTGGTGGAAATTTCTGGTTGTTCATCCACTTTTGGATTCCAAATCTGTTGCAGAACCTGAGTGTTGCACATTTGTATTACAGATCTGACTCATCTGTATGCAGATTGTTAATTCTTTGCCTCTTGGGCAGATGCACTCTGACTTTGAAAGAAGCTCCCAGTTAGTCGTCTTTTGGGTAAGCAGTGGGTCTGTTATTGTTTCCCCCACCAATGGGGCTCCAGAACCCACACAGGGAGACCCAGATTCGAACTTTCAGTAAGACTGAGGTTTTCCCCTGTTGGTAGCAAAATACAACTGTATCCTGCCCAGTCCATGGCGACAGCACAAGACCCCATTACCTACACTACGGCTATTCAGCTAAGTTTACTAATGGGTCAACATTTTGAAAATGAAGATTGTCACTGGCCAGAGCCTCAGCATAGAAAATGCTTCAGTATAATACAAATGGCAATGATCCCCGTCCACTTGCTTGGCCTCAGCGGACCAGATTTGGCAGCTAGTTGAATAGTCATGACCTACACTGTAGAAGTGGTCAATACAATTTGATTTTGTTCTTTTATTGGCAGAAAGAGATTTCTGGGATTTGTCTCTGATTCTCATTCAGGCGTTGTTACTCCTACAGAATGCAATATTGCGTGAGGACAAAAATATGAATAAAAACTTGACTCTTTATTTGTTAATTTTAGGTCCTATTTGCATGCTTGATTGAGAAAGAAATTTGTGCTTTTTCTATTGTGCATTTATCGGAAAGTAGTGAGTGACTTGCCTTGGGTTTCCAGTTGTGCTGTGGCATGAATTGCGAGCAGTTTAAGGCCGTTAACTCGTTATGTTAAATTGTATTATTGTGTACTGTTTGTTCAAGGAAATACTTTTCCAATGGTCTCACTTCAATAATAGCCATAATACTGTCATGTGATTAAACATATACAGTTCAACCTGACGGCCATATCTGACTCATGTTGTATATAATTCACAGCACTAGAATATCAGATAGTCTTTACTTGTCATTTTTGTGCATATTTAATTAAAATTGATCTTTTCTTACTTCTACTTAGCAATCACTGGCTGCTGGTTCCCTGTCTCTCAAGCAGATGCAGTGTGACTGCAAAGGAAACTCGGCTAATTAGTCGCCTCCTTTGACCTGCTTATTGGGAGAGGTGGCAGTGGGTGTACTCTCTTTTTCTACCAAAATGGAGTCCTAGAACCCAGACACGGGCAATTAAACCATGATTTTAATATTAATGCGCTTGACTTATCCGAAGTTGATCAAACCTCCAAAAGACCATCCACATACATTGGATTGCAGGCTACTTCATAATCATAGGATGACCTAATATATCACTGACGAATCTCTGACACTAACGTGATTGCAGGACATGGGAGCAAAGCATGGTGAAGCACATGTATGCCGCCCTCGAGACATAACCAGCTTCTCATGGGAACAATTAGTAGAAGTACCTTGGAGTGGCTGTTGCATCAGAAGACTAAGCATGCATGGAAATGCCCAGTGTGCAGAGACATTGTTTGTGATAACTTAACAATAACTGTGTTGTAAGGTTGAATGGGGTTTCTAGGATTGGCTGCTATTGGAGTCTCATCCAAATAGTGGCTTTTTGGGTCTTCTTCTGCCTTTGTAGGCTCCAGTGGGGCATAGGCACTCAACTAGCTCATGCCAGATCGTTCTATCCTTTACTATTGCATGCACCTCTCCCCATGTCCTCCTTTTTGACTTCACTCTCCAGCTCCCTTCTTCGTGTGTTTTTTGGTCTTCCTTTATTTCTGTGGCCCTGTGGGTTCCAGTGCAAAACATTCTAGTTATATTGTTCTCAGGTTTTCTCAATGTGTTAATCTTTCAGAGCAAGTAAACAGTGCACTTCCCTCCCCAAGGTATCACTTATATCCTATGCCCACTTCCCTCCCCAAGGTATCACTTATATCCTATGCCCACTTCCCTCCCCAAGGTATCACTTATATCCTCTGCCTACTTTCTTGCTGGTCTTTTTCCTGGTACCATGCTTTCTGCTATTATTTTTTTGTAATCCATTGTGGCGCTTGATATGCCCAAAATATTAAATTTTCTGACACAATGTAATGTTCCTTTGCATTTTTGTGCACTTTATAAATTCTTTTAAATCTTTTCTGTGCAGATTACACACACAAAAAAATATCCTTGGCTTCCGAACTGACCCAACATTTAAATGGTACAAGCAATGTCCTGGACAGTAAAGCCATTATCATAACGTTGACCATCCATCAAGTGTCACAAACATACATAACACGTCCCTAGACCCATTAGGGTCGTGGAGGTGTATTGATGGAAGCACTAGAC